TTTTTAATTGGTGGTATGGAGGGAGACCTGTGATAGGATAGAGAAAAAGTGGTCCGCCCAAAGCCGGTGCGGCCGGTGCGGTTCCGACGGCCCTGTGTAAACACACATAAGGCCTATCTGCTGTAATAACAATGGAAAAAATTTAACTGACCGTTTTCAAGAGGGGAAAACGTTGAATTTTGAAGAACTTAAATTAAAGTCGCTAAAAGATACTTCAGAAGTCGGGAAAGCTCATTTCTTATCTTCTGGAATCAAAATTTTCCCGGGGGAGAACCTCCGGACCCCCTTTCTATTTGGGATTTATCGATTTATGAAAAAAAAAATTATATGCAACTACTCTATATTTTTTATATGTATGTATACACATATAAGGCCTATTTACTGTAATAACAAGTGAAAAAATTTACCTGATTGTTTTCAAGAGCGGAAACCTTGAATTTTGAAGAACTTAAAAGTAATTAAGACACCTCAGAAGTCGGAAATATTTCCCGCCATTTAGGAATCAAAATTTTCCCGGGGGGGGGGGAACCCCTGGAACCCCCTTGTCTTTGGAGCTTATCGATTAATTGAAAAAAGAATACGTATATATGCAACTACTAATTTTTTTTTTATGTATGTATACACACACAACCGGCAAATTTACTGTAATAAGAATGAGAAAGTTTACCTGACCGTTTTCAAGAGGGGGAAAACCTTTAATTTTGGAGAACAAAGTCATTAGACACCTAGCTAAAACCTAGCTACTTGAGAAGTTGGGAAAGCTCATTCCCCACCATTTAATCAACACTTTCCCGGGAAGAACCCGAACCTCCATTTTCTCTTTGAGTTCATTGATTCATTATAATAATTTTCAAGAGGGGAAAGCCTTGAATTTTGAAGAACTTGAAGGTAATTAAAAGACACTTCAGAAGTCGGAAAAGCTCATTTCCCGCCTTCTAGGAATCAAAATTTTCCCGGGGGTGGACCCCCGAACCCCCCTTTCTTTTTGGGATTTATGGATTCATGGAAAAAAAATCGTATGCAACTACTCAATTTTGTTTATGTATGTATCATAGCCGTCGGAAGCATTTTGCAAGTGTGTCCGGCCATTTTAATAAGAGTGGGCATGGGTGGGTGGTAGGGTGCAACACATTTTTTTTTTCACCATAGTTGAAAAAAAAAGGCTCCTCAGCCGGGAAATAGCACGTGCATAATTTTAGAAAAATTAATGTCTTCACTTTTAATTTAAGGGTTACAATTTTTTATATTGGAAGTAGGCCTAATCAGGGCCAGCTTGGCCATTATACCTTTGCCAAAATGTTATAATAGTTATTTTATATTATACCTCTAAACAATTTCAAAATCAATCTTAAATATTGAAATTAAGGATTGTCAATAAAGTTGAAATGTACACGGCAATACAATAAATTGTGTTATAGGCCTATATTACTTACACGATATATTAGCCAATGCACTGTTTTGTGTATAGCGTCTTTTTCTATTGAATGACGATAATTATGTAGTGGCAATGTCAGTGATATTTTAATGGAAAGACAAGTTGATGTCTGGCTACTAAGAAATGTTTAATTAAGAATAAATAAGAGCATGCAGTGACTGTACAACCATTTTAAAACATTTAATGTATTATTTTTTAATTTACATCTAAATAGAGAAATCTGAAGACCACATTTAGTACCCATGAGTTCCATGTCTCCCGTAGAGTCTCGCAATGGGGTCTCCTAGAAACTGGCAGGAAGAACTTATTTATCCCCGAAATAAACCATCTCCCGCAAATTCATGATGATATTTGCATGCTTTAACAAGTTTTGAAAATGTAATGTCAATTGTCTGCGCAGCAGTTAGTACCAATCATTAATGGTATGCACAGCAAAATTTGTTTGTGATAAGAAAATTCATTTAAACAGATCTCCCGGATGTGGATTCTTCCAAATTGGGACTGAATTCGACACCAAAAGACCACCATGCACAGGACTACAGGGAAATAGTTTTAGCATTAATAATAATATTAACATCTTACAGTAACTGTAGGCCCTACACCCATTCACACATCTTACATTTACTATATCATTTCTTAATTCCCCTCTAAATAGAGATATTAGAGACTACTTTTAAAGCCGGTCTTTAATTATATTGATTCAAATTAGAGACCAAAGCTGCTAAAGACCACTAAGAACCCGAACCTCCCTTTTCTCTTTGGGTTCATTTATTCATCATAATAATTTTCAAAAGGGGAATACCTTGAATTTTGAAGAACTTAAAAGTAAATAAAAGCCACCTCAGAAGTCGGGAAAACTCATTTCCCGCCTTCTAGGAATCAAAATTTTCCCGGCGGAGAACCCCCGGACCCCCTCCCCCTTTTTCTTTGGACCTCATCGATTCATTGAAAATGAAAAAAGAATACGTATGCAACTACTAATTTTTTTATATGTATGTATACACACACATAACCGGTCAAATTACTGTAATAAGAATGAGAAAGTTTATCTGATTATTTTCAAGGGGGGTGTGGGGGGGGGGAACCTTAATTTTGAAGAACATAGTCATTAGACATCTAGCTCAAAAGTCGAGAAAGGTAATTTCCCGCCATCTAGAAATCAAAATTTTCCAGGGGGAGGACCCCCGGATCCCCTTTCGTTTTCGTTCCGCCGGCCCTGTAGACAGGCCTAAATTTCGGTACTTCTTCGGCCGAACACCTTAAGGTAGTACTTAAATCAGCTTAATTACGATGATAATAAAAAAAAAAAAGGAAGAATTTTCAAGCAGCAATGATTTATAAAAAGATGCAATTTTGCACTTTGCTGTTAAATTATATAACTAAATTTCCAGAAAGCTACATGAATCAGGAAGTATCAGTCAAAGGTAGCTTAAATTATAATTAAAAATAAAAATTGAATCCTCCAATAAGCGAAAACTTGTCCAAGGAGTCCTGTGCTATGCAAACATGCCCAATTGTGCTTTACAAATCAATTAATTGTGCAACTAAAGATTTTAAAGATAAAAATATATTTTAAAGATATAGGCCTAATTGTA